AAAACGAATTTTCATTAAAGAAAAAAAAAAATATCAACCACTAGACAAAAAAATAATAATAACAATGCTCGACGTAACATCAACAAGTCAACTGTTTTATTTCTTCAAATTTTTTTATTGCTACTTTGTTTTTTATTGTTTTATTAGTTGTCTGCTTTTATATAAAAAAAAGATTTTTTATCTCTTTAATTTTTAGGAATTTTACAATTTTGCAGGGAAGCCTGCCTACAGTACAATCAATGATTCCAATTGTTACTTAATGTGGAAACAATTTGCAGTTAACTAAAAGATGTATTTTATATTTTGACTTTGACTGATAATACATCGAACACCTTAATAATTACCATTTATATTGTAAAGGCTACTCAAAATATAAAACGACAAGGCTGAAACAGCAGAGCACAAAACGTAAGAGCCATATGAAGGTTTTAAGAAGGCTTGTCCAAAAAAAGAGAATCTATAATAAAACACATAAATAACGATTGCAGTCGGAAAAGCTGGCTCTAGCGAAAGTACAGTGTATATGCCTATTTAAAGTGCCAGTCAAAGTTCGAACACTCTTGTTCCAGAAACGAAGCAGCAGTCCTACCCGTAGGTGAAACGATTGAAGGATTTAGGACTAGTAAAAATGGGTACTCACTAGTGTGGTCTTAACTGGCAGAAAATTGAGCATCGTGACAGCACGAGGATACTCGTCAGTTGCAGTTTTGGCAACAGTGTCTCAGATAAGCCTGTGTGGGCATGGGTGTACGCGAAGAATCTGTCCAAGGGTTCAATGGCGAGTGATGAAAAAATAGTAGGATCAGGGATGGTGACGACGTCTCCAACGACGAAGTTCTGCCGTGGCACCGCCCACTTTGGACGCAGTTGGAGGGTGTTCCAGTATTCCTTGCTCCAGCCCGCTTAAAACTGAGCCTGAAAACAGTGCACAAACTCTCAGTGCGTGAATAGATCGAGAGGTTGAACCCTAGGAGGAACCTTGATGATAGAGTTAAGGGATCCCCAACGATGAAATAGACCGGTGTGAGCCCTTCGAAGTCATCCACTTTGCCAGAGAGGAAGACTGAGGGTTGACTGTTGAGCACCATCTCCATGCTGACCAGCACAGTAGAGAATTCTTCGTATGTGGGGTGCTGTTTAACACCAGCTTCCGAGAGATTACCGAAGTAAGAGACCCTGGGCCGGATAAAGTACCACTCGATGCCTTGATTGGCTAGAGTTCCAGTGGTAAGCTCGCCATGTAGCTTAATTTTATTTCTGGAAGCTACTAAAATTGATGTTATTTTGATGAAAACAGGTGGCATTATGACTCCACAACTTAAAAGTTCGATCACAACGCCCTGTCAATCGCGTTAGCGCAGCTATGAACGAGGCCACGGACAAGTCCGCGACCAGCTCAAGGTTCACAATCAAGGAGATGAGCATAAGGCCTTGCATGGTAGTTTTTATTGGTAACAAAAAGGTCTGTAAATGTTAGTCAGAGTAACTAAATCATGAGCAGTGCGTCTTGAAATTCAAGACGGGGTGTCGTCAACAGAGTCTGAGTTGACGAAGCTGGGCTGAGAAGTTAAATTGGCATAAGCTTGGTCTCAGCTAGCAGTATATAGCAGCGAAACAAGCTTATACAGTCAGTAGGCCAAGAGGAAATCACAGCTGCCATGATGCAATAACTTGCGTAGCAGACAGAGCGGGGCTGTAGGTCAGAATCTGGGGAGAAGCCAATTTAACGTGGAATAGCAAACCCTTGGATCGCTCAAATCTCGGCAGTGATGGCTGACCACAGGTGTATCATTGATATTGACACAACCTTATTCAGTATGCAACAGGTCGTGGAGAAGAAGCTTAGTATTCAGAATGATATGTGCAAGCCAGCCACATGAATTGAAGAGACGTACCAGAGCAGTGAGAATCGTTTTTTTTATTTCTTAAGACTAAGCTTGGGGAAACGATAGCTGAAAAACTATCAGAGGCCGGATCACGGCTTATACTAAGATTGCTAACAAACTCCTCCGTGACAAGGTCATACCAAGTAGGATAAAGGTGCGTTTTTTTGGAAAATTGGCTCAAAGCTCAGACGCATTCATGACCCACTTTTTTAAAGGAAACTTTCTCACGTGCAGGTGGGAGATGAGCTGATCCCAAAGCTCGCGTGTAGCATTAAAACTTTTAGTGCCAGGGAGGACATCGTCCACATAGTAGTCGTGCATGGTGACAGTCGCAGCCTTAGGCTAACAATGTCCCTTATCCTCGCACAACTGTTGGATGACCCATAGCGACAAGTAAGGCACTCGAGAGACACCAAAGGTAATGGTGAGCAGCTGATAGTGCGTAGGTGAGATGCTGGAGTCCAGGCTCCACACCATTTCTTGCAGGTCAACGTCTTGCTGGGGTATTTGGATCTGGTAAGGCATCATCTGAGCGTCGATGTAGAACGTGAAACGATACTGGTGTTAGCGTAGCAGAACCGTTGGCAAGGAGGCATGGAGCATTGACCTGGCATGCAAGACGTTGTTAAGACTATGGCCACTGAAGACTGCGTGTGAGACGTTCAAAACAACGCACTGCTTAGACTTCTTATCTCCAGGTAGCAGAATACCATGATGAGAAATGTTATACACAGAACCAATCAAAGCAGAGACCAGTGCAGTAGGGAACAGCCTCATGTAGCCCAGTGTAACGTATTCTTTCCTGACAGAAGAGTACTTGACAGCCATGTCGAGGTTCCAACGGAAACGAGCTTGTAACGACTTTTAGGATGCCTGGGCTTTCTGTAAGCTATCGCCAACAAGATTAAGGGCATGCTACTTTGACGAAAACCGTACAAAGTAGCAAAAATCCTCGTGGTACTGGCGCTCGGAGAATGTCCATTTACACTCGAGCTCAGTAAGTATCTGACGACATGCCTGGAAAGCGTCTTCTAGCTTAAACAAACGCTATATTATAAGAACAAGCTCACGATACCAGACAAAAGTCATCTTATCTCCTAAGGTTAAACAAGTAAGGACAGAGCTTAACGAGTGTCAGGGTGCCTGGCCAGATGGATCCTGACGTATCAATTTTGACAGAATGCTCTAGTTTTAAATAGTAAAAGCAAAGCCGTTCACAAAATACGACATTTTTCTTGGCGGTCATACTCAAGCTCTGTATGTCACTGCACAGGCCCTCACATGAGTAATTCCAAGTAGTAAAGGCATTTAACATCAGTTAGTAGTGGCTCATTATGGACTACAGCCTTGAACAAATCGCGCAAAGACTCCCAATTCTCTTGTTGGTCAGAGAACTAAGGAATACCAACAGTCTTGGTCCATGATAATGCGTGAGATTAGTGAGAATAGCTGAATCATCACCAGACATTATTGACTAAAGACGACTGCGATAGTCATGCGTAAAAATCTGTGCGATAATACAGTGAGTATCAGCTAAAGCATCGCCTGCAACGGTCACCGTAGTGATCGAAGCCACTTCTAGCAGGGCCATATAGTTGACCTGAAAATCGTGCCAACACTCATGGAAAATCTCAAGCTGAACTTTGATTAGGCCAAGACTCCAGTGGGCACCCTAGATATTGAGAACCACCTGCAAAAATCGAGCGATGACCTCACCCAGAGCTCGCTGCGTCACGTGTTGCTAGCAAATTCGTCGAGCGTCATCTTCCCTGAAAATAAAATAGAGAGTGTGACCGAAAAATACAGTTAACGTGTTTAGTGTGCGCCAGAATTAATGCTAGTTTGGAGTTGCTACAAGAGTCCTTAACCTTCATAGTGCACACAAATACAAGAGGCACACAGTGTGGGCACTTAGCGGCCGTGGACTTAAGGCAACTACGTCAGCCTTGACCTCTACAGCGTTCTCTCACATAAGGATGTCATGTGACGCTAGCTCACGGCAACCAAGGTAGCCTTCCGACGTGGACTCGTAGCAACCATGGCAGCCATAGCCTCTACAATTATCTATAGATTAAACTTCTTATTCCCCAGATCTATGCCGTAGCACGAGACAGGTGTATCATGACTAGAGTCTCTGTCTGAAAACTGCTCTCTAAGTACATCAGGTAACATGATCTCCAAGAAAGACCAAAAGAAAAGCATCCTGATTCATACTTCTTTACTTTTATGATGACGATAGGTGTCATGCCCAGTTGGTAAGAGAATTAAATAAACAAATGTAGTTGCACCATATCGCTTGCTCCTTTGTCATAATTGAATATGATTAACTCATAGACGAACACTACCTTGTTGGAGCATGACTATTTACTAAGCAAATCTTTTATAAATCAATATTTTGCCATTCAACAATTTAACTTTGCCATTCCACTTCAAAACAAGGAACATACATATATAATATGAATATTAAGAATTACAAATACAAAACATAGATAATAATACCTATACTATTGAAATGATCATGTAGGTACTAGCATAGCACGTCGATCAGAAAGTTAATTTATTTCCTATAATTTATACATTACAACCGAAATATAAAGTATAAAATAGTATTAAAAAATTTTTCTTCAAAGTTGTGTTCAAACAACAGTACGACATTCTTTTTTAAAAATAGTCATCAACACACCATGTGCAAATCGTAAACAATACATAAGATAGAAAAAAAGCATAGGCTAAAGAAACATAGAGACAGTAACCTATCGAAAAAATTTTATATTTATTGCTTAGTTTTTTAGTGTCTAATTGTCTATTAATATTACTATCGGTACATGTAATAAAAATCTTTTCGGAAAATTCTCGCTTATATTGGTTTTTTTATGACAAAGAATTGTCACACATTCAAAGTCAAAGCCTTGTGTACATTTTTAGGAGTGGGTATATAAAGGTGATCTGTCATCTTTGTTAGATGTACATCACTCATGTTCATGTGGACGTGTGCATAGGTGTCTCTTACTCTGGTTAATGTATTTAGCTTTAAAATTGCAAGAAATAATGAAGACAACGCCACTTCCCTGCAATTTATCAGTTTAATCCTTTCCGAACTTGATTATATTCGTTAATTTATTGAAACTATGAAAAATGACCTTCAAGTTGTATCTTGAGAGAGCTTTTCGTAAAGAGCTCTCAATAGGTTTGAAGTAAGAAACAACCAAGAATGTTTATTTTCTTAAGATTGATTTCTGTATAGAATCCTGAGGGGCCCATAAGTTAGGACTCCAGAAATCAGATTAATGAATTTTTAAAAAAAGTTTTCAATTGTCTATAAAGGTAGCTTGTTCTTTTTTTTGTACATCAATAAATAAATGGAGTTGGATAAGTTTTTTTAACTAAAGTGTTGCGGGCCAATGTGATATTTTTTTATCTTAATAAAGAGTCAGCTAATTCGAATCTTTTATGAACAAGAAAGAAAATTGTGGGTTTTTTGGCATAACAGATAATATAAAAAGAAATTGTGGATTTAACTAGAAGCTGAGGGTTTCTCATACAAATCCATGGTGCTTATAGAATTTAAAATACGAGTAACTAGGATGTCGAGAAAAAGAATAGAATTGTTTACTTTAAATTCAACTGTAAATTGCACAATACAACTGTCATTATTAAAATTACTTAATATATAAGTAGTTTAATGTGTTTTTATTAACAATAAGCAATTATCAATACATCTTAGATTCAGTAAGATAGAGTATCTGACCTAATCAAACGGGGAAGGACTTCCTCAAGGACTTCAGCAAAATTTATTAAATAAAATCAAAAATCGTTTGTTAAAATGGCGTTGACTTTACATGTACATTCGTCTTTGTATGAAACAACTAAAGCTCCATTTTTATCAGCTTAAGTTACAAACAGTTCAGTGTTTTTTTTTTAAGAATTTCTTTGTTAAAATAATGTCATTTTGTCTAACGTAGTCATAGTACGATTTTTTACAATTGTTAAGAATGTGGTTATTTTTTAATTTAATAAAATTTGCTTATGTCATACAAATATCTTGTTAACACTTGTTTTTAATTAATGTACGTTTTAAGAGCTTAAAAACTCTTAATACATCATTAGATTCCAAAGTAGAATAAAAATTAGAATTTTTTACTAGTTTTAATGTTACGTATGCATTTTCAGGTAATATTACACTAGTAAGATTTTTAACTAATGTACAGTTGTTATTTACAATCGAAAAATAGTAAAAGCTACCATTTTTTCTTTACAGTTATTAATTGACGTGTGTTTGTCAGTGTTGCCATGACTATTTTTTTTTAATGTTGTCTGGAGTTAAAAGTAAAGAGTTGAAGAAATTTTTTACCCAATTTAAGTTTTAGTTTGTGGGTATAAATATATTGTATATGGTATAAATATTTAGATAAAGCACA